TCTACCTCCATCATCATCATGAGTCCCTTGATTTTCTAAGTGCTCAATTCTCTCATATAAGTCCTCTGTTTGCTCCCTCATCATCGTTTGCATTCGATCCATAATGGCATCGATTAGCAACCTGTTTTCTCTCTCAGGAGGAGGGCTACCTTCACCACCCGTACCTGCCATAATTCAAGAAAATGAAAAACAAAAGTGACAGCAATAGGACCTCACCACACCTCTCACGTGTTTACACTCTTAGAGATGTATCACTCGTGTTTGTTGCTCTATATTAGGCTTTTGTATAAAATGCTCTCTTGCCTTTTACCACTCAATAGCTCTCTTTAAGTTCTTAATAGAATCTCCAAGAACACTCAAGAGTACAACACAGAACTCAACAAAATAGTGGTGACACGAACCATAGATTGAAAAGATGTCAAAAGAGACAAGACAAAGAAGAACAGGTTAAAAGAAAGATTCGAGGAAAACTCTTATGACTTGATTCAAAAAGGTGGTGTGTATTTGAGATAAATAACAAGCTGCTGTATTTTTTTTTTAACTTGAAACCTTTTTTTTTTTAAATTTTCCTTACTGCAGCAAACTAAATTTTCAACAGCAATCACTTTTTTTTTTAACACGGGATGCCTCTAATAATTGAAATTTGTAATTTTGAAATGAAACATGAAATTGGAGTAATTGAGAACGAAACTAGATAGAATTCTCAACAAAAAAAGCTATTAATTAACACACTAACAACATACTACTCAAGACACACGAATTGAAAGGATTAAAGTTCATGAACAATGATGAACATGATGAACACCAAGAACGCAACTACAGAAATATATGAACTGAACAAGAAATTGGAAGAAAGAACAAATTATGGAATAAACACAAAGGTTGAAACAAAATTACACAACTCAAATTTAGAAAACAATTTTTAGGGTAAAAGTGTTACCACGAATTTAACTTCATTCCAAACCTAGAACTGAGCTCTGGTACCAAATGATATGAACCTCAAGAGAAGTGACCGGATTGGATCAACTAGGAATGGAATTTATGCCCAAAATTCAGCCTCCAACGCGTCCTGGCTAAAAATGATCATATCTCACGCTGCTCAACTCGGAATTGAGTGATTCCAAAACGACGTGAAAGAGCACGTTTCAAAACGCGAAATAGACCCAAGAATCACCGAAAACGGACAAGTGGGTCACGAGATCTGATTTGAGGTAGGGTAAAATGAAAATTAAAACAAGAAACAAGGGTAGGAAGGCGCCACAAGGATAAGAACCCTTGATAAGCCTATGAACGCCACAAGGATAAGAACCCTTGATAAATTCAGAGATTCTCAAAAGAACCCAAGAGAACTAGTCTCACCAAAATAGGTTAACTTGATATTCAAAATCTGATTGCAAGAGTTGTATCCTCCCTTATTTATTCTTGGAACATCCCTCCAAGAATAGGAAAAGACTAGCAAATGAAAAGACACTAATCATCCCCACTAAGCATTTATTACATTGATGACATTAACTAAATTCTGATTGGGATATGCCTTGGACTTGATGTCTTCATGATTAGTCCGCATTTGCAGAATTAGCCCACTAAGAGCTTCCGTAAACTTCTTGGCCCTTGACCTTGTGATTGGCCCATTTGGCAATTGCAATGGATCATTTGGCATTGTCTCCTTATTCATATCAGTGATGCCACCTCCTATGTCTTCATCAGGCCGCACCTCCAACCGATGTCTCACGCGCCTTCACGCGCGCGTGAAAGTTACGGCCCTCTCCTCCACAAGGCAGCGCGTGGAGCATCCTTTCCGGCCGCGGCTGGTTGCGTTCTCCTCGTCGCCCTGTGAAGGTTCTGGATCTGGTCCTGGTTTTGAGTTTGGACTTCCTTTTGCGTTGACGCACAGATCCCTCTTCTACCAGTTAGTTGTGTGATCTCGACGAGTAGAACTAAGCCTATTAGGTTTCACTTTCTAAAAATGGCAGAAATTTCTGGGATCTAGACCGAAAAGTTACGGCTGCAGTATCTTCAAACTCAGATACTGGAAAATCCTTCCATCGAATCGCAAAAGTCATTTCAAATATGAGGTCCTCTCATTAAGATCTTCGAATAGACATCTTACTCGCTCAAATCTGACACACGAAGCTAATACTTCAAGATTGTTGGGGGTTATGAGTTTGAGAGAGAAGGGTTTAGAGGTGCTTGAAATATTATACCAAGAGACATCAAGTTTGGAATGATCAACAGTGTTACCTCCAGCATAGGAAATCCTAGAGATAATGTAAGTTATTGGGCTACAGTCCATATGGACCCAAATAACCATGCTTTCACCTATTGGGCTTATATGTGAACATACTATTAGATTATATTATGAATATATCCAACATCTTATTCCCAATACTTAAAAAGACACCATTTGAATTAAGTTAAGCCACCAATGTAATGCCTGGCAACTTGCAAGGATCAACGACTGTCCCCATACACTAACACAAGACTTTTCAGCGTGCTTTGTCCCCACTCGCACACTTCCCGAGAAAACTTTCTAGGAGGTCACCCATCCCAGAATTGCCCCAAGTTAAGCACACTTAACTATGGAGTTCTTCTGTTCTGGGCTACCAAAAAATAGATGCATTTTGTTAGTGTAGGTAGTACCAATTAATTCTTATAAGCTATTCCCAACTGTACCGTCTCATACCAGCATAATCTCTAGAATCCCTGTCTTTCGGGTGTTGATTCGATTCATTCATGTACCCCCGTCGCTGGAAGCCTGCCAGGAGCCGCTCCTTGTCCATGCCCTTTCTCACAGGCGATCACTCCCCGCCCTCGTCAGCGCCCAAGATGTTACATGCCCACCAGTTTTCGCCTGGTTCGTCCTCGAACCACACCGTACTAGAAGAGAGGCCCTGCTCTAATACCATTTGTAACGCCTGGCAACTTGCAAGGATCAACGACTGTCCCCACACACTAACACGAGACTTTTCAGCGTGCTTTCTACTCACTCGCACACCTCCCGGGAAAACTTCCCAAGAGGTCACCCATCCCAAAATTGCCCCATGTCAAGCACGCTTAACTATGGAGTTCTTCCGTTCCGGGCTACCGAAAAGTAGATGCATTTTGTTAGTATAGGTAGTACCAATTAATTCTTATAAGTTATTTCCAAATGTACTGTCCCATATCAGCACAGTCTCTAGAATCCCTCTCTTTCAGGGTTGATTCGATTCATTCATATACCCCCGTCGTTGGAAGCCTGTCAGGAGCAGCTCCTTGTCCATGCCCTTTTGCACCGGCGATCACTCCCCACCCTCGTCAACGCCCGAGATGTTACATGCCCACCAGCTTTTGCCTGGTTCGTCCTCAAACCACACCGTACTGGAAGAGAGGCCCTGCTCTGATTGTAACGCTTGGCAACTTGCAAGGATCAACGACTGTCCCCACACACTAACACAAGACTTTTCAACGACTGTCCCCACACACTAACACGAGACTTTTCAACGTGCTTTATCCTCACTCGCACACTTCTCGGGAAAACTTTCCAAAAGGTCACCCATCCCAGAATTACCCCAAGTTCAGCACGCTTAACTATAAAGTTCTTCCGTTCGGGCTACCGAAAAGTATATGCATCTTGTTAGTATAGGTAGTACCAATTAATTCTTATAAGTTATTCCCAACTGTACCGTCCCATACTAGCACAGTCTCTGAAATCCCTCTCTTTCGGGTATTGATTCGATTCATTCATGTACCCCCGTCGCTGGAAGCCTGCCAGGAGCTGCTCCTTGTCCATGCCCTTTCGAACCGACATTCACTCCCCGCCTCGTCAGCACCCCGGGATGTTACAACCAAGGAGAATAAAGTTCAATTATTTGCATAATGCATATAAATCTTGGTTAGCCCATTAATATGTGCATTCGATATGGCTTGGCTTGCACTTTTGTGCATTTGTTGCGACAAAATTCTGGACCATCCCAAACCAGAGGCGGGGATTGCATCAGCTCAGCCGCAACACTTGGTTTCCCGATAGAACTTTGTGTTTTGGCCTTATAATAATAAGAAAAAACTTCAAAAAAAACTCCCCGTAACTTTCTTCATAATCATTTATCCCCTCCCTAAAATTTTGAATGATTTACCCCTTGACTTAAAGTTTTTTTTATCATTTATCCCTTTAAGTGAGGGGGATAAGTGCTAAAGAAACTTTAAATCAAGGGGATAGGTGATAAAAAAATCTAAATAAGGGTGTAAATGATTCAAAAAATTTGTGAGAGGGGTAAGTGATAATTAAGAAAACTTATATAGGATTTTTTGAAATTTTTCCTAATAATAATAATTATAATAATAATAATAATAAAAGGTAAATAAATAAATAAATGAATCAGAAGTGTATGTATAAATATAGTAAAGATTCCAATCATCCCTGGTTTTCCCATGCTCTTCTCCTCGTCGTCCTAAGAATAACCACCATTCAAAGATATCCCAAGTTTCATTCCATCTTCTCTCGTATCCCTTCTGGTCCCATTCATCACCCTCACCCCCTTTCTCTAATTGGTTATTTCATATCCTCACCCCAAATGTAAAGGAGGAAGGAATTTTCACCTGTGGTATCGACTTGAAAATCGATACTCCTCCTTTCACATTTTTGGTGTGGGCATGAACCAATTAGATATGGAATCTTTGAAATAAACAATTACATGGAAACCCAATCATACCACGCCTCCTTAAGGTAACCCTTTCTTTCTTAACCATGAAAGGTATCACGTGTTTTCCATAACTTCCTCTTTTTCAAAAACAGAACACATTCATTTCATTACACCCCCAAAACAAAAACAAAACAAAAAAAAAAAAAAAATCAAAAAACAAACAAAATAAATAAAACAATTGAAACCATGCAAAGGGTACGAGGTTGTGTCTAGGTTACAATTGTGAGGTCTGGGTCTGGTTGTTTGAAGATGGAGATATTAGAAAGAAAGTGCAAAAGGGAAGAGAGAAAAGAAAAGAAAAAAAACCAAAAAACAGAAATGATGGGTAACCAGAGAAAGGTGTTTCCAAGCGAAGAAGATGTACCAGCATCACCAAGGGGCGTATTTGAGGTTCCTATTTCGGGCACATATTCGGACAGCACTGGAAGCAGCAATTACAATTACAGTTCTGGGTTGTCATGGATGGGCCCACATAAGCTACATACGAAAGAAGGCCATCACGGACAACAATGGAAGACCATGATCGATACCTTCAAATCTGTTCGAAGATTCTCGAACATTCCTCTGCTTGCGGCTAGCTACGAGATCTCTAGAAGGAGCTTGAGGAATAAGTTGGCTCGTATTCGACCAGCTAACGAAGATGATGATTATAATTTGGATGCTGCTATTGATCTTGACGCTATTGCCACCAAGCCTTCTTGGAAGAACTTCGGCTACGCAGAACTCGTTGCTGCAACGGACGATTTCAACCCTGGTAAGAATCAACATCAAAAAACTCCCCCTTCTATTTTTCTTTTCATTTACCACCTACCATTGCTGCGAAATTTCTGTTCAATTTTATAACAAATTGTCCTATAGCAGTCACGGTGAATTGTATACCGGCGTACCTTACTGTATTTTTTTCAAAGTGATTATTTTCCATACTTAACTCATAAATTGTTTTCTCTCACAAAAAATAATCTGACCACTTATTTAAGTCTCACGAGAGTGAATTCTTTCATGTATTATTTAATATGATCATTATATCATGTAAGAAAATTTTAACCATATAATGATAAATTAATCGTGATGATATATGAGAAAAAAAAATATTGAAATAGAAAATTATAAAACTACATAATATGATATGTTGATGTCAAATAACATATGAAAGAATTTAATTTCAAATTTTGACCTCATTTCTCACCAAAAAAATTTAAAATAAAATTCTAGACATTCTTGTGCCAAAAGAGGTATGCATTATCATCTACAACAAATAATATATAAATGAACAAAGGAATAATAAAATATCAAATCCCAAACCATTTATTTATTTATTCTACACTCAAATTTGAGACTTAAAGTTAAAAGAAACAACTTTATCATTTCAACCAATGATGTTGATAACGCATAAAGCTTTTAAATTAATCCATTAATTTTGAGCACCATGGCATATTCCTTTAACCTTTGGCCAAATAAAATTTAACCCTATTAACCAAAACTTTAATTTTAAATAAAAAAAATCTATTTCACATAAATAATAGATATTAGATACAAAAGTGGTAACAAGTGTCATGATTGCTTTTGTTTAATTTGGTACTATTTATATCTAATGGCTCTGATTTATTAAATATTTAAGATTTATATGTAAGCCAATCAACGAGTTTTTATTCTTACAGTACTGCTATAAGAATAATCTGTTCTATATGTATATTTGCAACATTTTGATTAATTAATCTAAACGTGCAAAAATAATGTATATTTAATTATGCTAGTAGCATTGTTTGAAGACTGAATAACAAAATGTATCTAATAGATTGTTACCCTTTGGACTATTGTTTGTTAATCTTTGCATTTCTGGTTGTGTAGAGAACATGATTGGAAAAGGTGGTCATGCTGAAGTCTACAAAGGACGTTTACCTGATGGTCAAGTTGTAGCAGTAAAGAGGCTAATGAAGAACGAAAAGGAAGTTGAGGACAGAGCTGGTGATTTCTTGACAGAACTTGGGATTATTGCTCACATAAATCACCCAAATGCAACACGCCTTATTGGGTTTGGAATTGATCGTGGCCTCTACTTTGTTCTACAATTAGCCCCACATGGCAGCCTTGCGTCTTTGCTCTTTGGTGCTGTGCTTCATCTATCTCTTACTTCTCAATTCATCTTTTCTATTTTTCTAGTTCAGTCATAGTTACATATTATATTTTGTATTACTTGGCTAATAAAAGTGACAATCAATGATGCAGGTTCTGAATGCTTAGAGTGGAAGATAAGGTTCAAGGTAGCTATTGGGGTAGCAAAAGGATTGCAATATCTCCATCATGATTGTCCAAGAAGAATCATTCACAGAGACATCAAAGCCTCAAACATATTACTCAACAATAATAATGAAGCTGAGGTACTTTGTATCAGCCTATAATATAAAATTGTGAATTTCATTTTTTTGCTTCTAGGCAATGTAAACAATTTATTTTCTTTATAATAAACTGCAGATTTCAGATTTCGGATTGGCAAAGTGGCTTCCAGATAAGTGGGCCCACCATGTTGTCTTCCCAATAGAAGGCACATTCGGGTTGGCATTGCAGCAGCATTGACTTATATATATATATATATATATATATATATATATATATATATATATATATATTCTCAATGTAACTACATTTTCTGAAACGCTTGTTGATCAATTGGTGCAGGTATTTGGCTCCAGAGTACTTTATGCATGGACTTGTGGATGAAAAGACTGATGTTTTCGCATTTGGGGTTTTGTTATTGGAGCTCATAACAGGTCGTCGTGCAGTTGATTCAAATAGCAGGGAAAGTCTTGTGATCTGGGTAAGTCTTCCTAATTTCTATACTCAAATCCTCTGTTCCCTCAGCTTGTTTCTAATTACGTGCTCTCAATAAAAATAATACTTCTAACTACACATAAAATAAAAAAAATAAAAAATTCCAACACTAGAGAAATATATAATTTTTCCCTTAGTTTGTTAGGAGAACAGAATTGGAAAAAAGGAGTAGGGTTTATGTCTTGTAAAAGTGAATTTCCTTTCTAGATGGTGCATTGGGGTAGAGTGAGGGAGGTGTTAGGGTGGGCGATTGCAATCACCCCGATTCATATAAGTCTTTAGCTGTGAGCATTATTTTTATTTTTATTTTTCTATCTTAGAAATAGTGAATCTCATACGCGTTTTCATGATATATATAGATAGATAGTTTTCGCTTACGAGGAATAATATACACTTGCAATTTGACCTCTCTTTACAAAATTTTATAACTCTGTCATTGGATCATTAGTAACTTCTATTGAGAACACTAATCAATGAGTCCTTAGAATGAACTGTAGGTTGTTGGTACTCAAGATGTTCATACTTCATAGCTTACAAAGTTCTATTAACGTTACATACTAATAATTTGTGAAAGACAAAAGACTGACAATGTTGCATTGTGGTCAGGCCAAACCACTGTTGGACGCAAAGATGGTCAAGGAAATAGCAGATCCCAGATTAACAGAACAATATGATCCCACAGAAATGAAGTGTGCCATGGCAACTGCTTCTATGTGTATCCACCACATGTCCTCTAGGCGGCCATACATGAACCAGGTAACAAAATGAGCATCCTTTCTCTTTCTGCTTAGTCTGTGTTGTTGTGATGTTTCATCATTCCAAGCCAGAAAATGGGGGGAATGACCAATTTAGTATAGTTTAAAAATTATTTATTAAAGTGAAATACTTTGGTCACTTTTGTTCATGTGAGCCTCACAAGTATGACGCAAGTCATGTTTGTGGGACTCCCGTAACATAGAGTGGTCAAAAGTAATCGAATTATATCACTTTAATAAATAATTTCTAATCTAATAAGCCATGACTTGCTTAATTTTTTTTATTTTTTATTTTTGGTACTTATTGACTAACCCCTTTTGGAACAATAGGTTCTGCAGCTATTGAAGGGCGAAGAGGTGGCTGTAGAACTGAGTCAAAAATCAATAGCTCCAAGATCGCTCTTGTTAGATGCCTGTGACCTAGAAGATTATACTTGCTCTAATTATTTGAGCGACCTCAATCGCCACAAGCAATTAATCATGGAGTGATGCCTTTCGGGGTAGCATGTTTCGCCTTGTGTCTGTTGAAACATAATGGAATGATATTTGTAGCATTGTGTCTGTGTGAGGCTGACAATGGACTTAGGCCTGAGTTGTATTCTAGTTACTGTAACGAAGACTGACCATGAGTCTTTGTACAAGCTTGACAAGATATGAAGATACCATAGGCTTGAGTTAAAGACTTAGGCCTCAATTTACTAAAAAAAAAAAGACGTAGGCCTCAAAACAAATTATTTTTAAAGCAACAATCTATTGTAGAAATCTTGCACCAGAGGGTGTCTTTACTTTTTTATTCTGTAGTGACTAGGGTCATTGAAATAATTCCATACCAAAATGAGCCTCAACTCTCAAATGCGCCCCTTTCACAATTCTCCAATTTACGGAAGTTATTCATAACAATAAAAATATATATATATCTTCTCTAGAAAAATTTGTCTCGTGCAATTTCACAATAACATCATTTTTGGATTTTGAGAAAAAAAATACAATATTTAAAAAAAAATTATATTACAAAAAATAAATAAAATTCTCAAAATATCTTGTATGTTTTTTCCAAACCATAAAACAATATTTGTAAGAGATAATTTTATTTCTTTTTTTTTTGGAGTTACCCAACCCTAATTATCTCTTTGAGACGAGTTGGCTCCCTCCAGTATCCCCACGAGCTTCGACTCTTTGAGCCGGCTATGGGACTAATCCGGAGTGCGGGGGAACAGTGATGGCTAAAGGTTCAGCCCCCTCCCCAAGAATGCATTCAGCAGGAATCGAACACATATCCAACCTCACTAACTCAGCGCCAAGTTACCAACTGAGCTGCACCCATTGGGTAGATAATTTTATTTCTTATGATAAGAGAAATATGTTTCCCATAAAAAAAATTCAAAATGCACGGCATATAAATGTTTGTCAAGTTAAAATAAAATAAATAGGTTAAAAACAAACCTAGCATTTGAACTTTTAATTTTATGTAAGAATTTCACATTAAAATCCGGATAAAATAGTTATGAATTTTCTAAGAAACAAGTGTTGAACCCACTGGGCCCGGCGCGAATAGCGCCACGTGTAACACCTCGTATATATCCGGTAATGTTATGATACTATCATATTAAGCAGCGCTTAATAAAAAAATGCGGAATATCTTTTTCTTTTCAATTATGATGTCATTATCATTACCAACTTGCTTATTAATCAATTAATGAAACAACACATGTATGTAATTGCATTAAAACAGCTATCTGAAAATACCTCATAACATATATAATAAAAGTGTGGCTCTAGTCACGGAACTACAACAACGTAGACCGGACCATCTAACAGTTTATACAACTCCAAACTAAAATACTAACATAATGTGTCATGGACAATCCTCATGCTCACTCAAATAAGGCAACATGCCCAACATCAGTCTCAACAACGACAACATAATCATAAATAGCGGAAAACATAAACAGCATCCAAATTCAATCATGGCAGCAATACAGCATAATATCATCAACTAAGCTATGATCTCCTGCCGCCAGAGGCATCAGTCACCAAACTACCGGAACCTGAAATAAGCATTCCCCAAACGTGGGATGAGATCTCTAAACAAGAAATCTCAGTAAGACAAGGGGTCCTCAAGGATCTTCCACCCCAAGCTCACTTACATGTGCAATATAAGTTCAAAAGCAGTTTATCATCATCAGTTCTAAAATAGTGCAATGCAGCAGATAATCATGTCATGTGTGTCAATTCTATTCTACTGGCCAGAGAAATGCAGGATTTACATACGCCAAATACCCACACTAGTGCAAGAGGCTACTTGCATCTACCCCGGATCACCGTCTTGTATGGCGCAACATACTCAGGTTTACCGTCAAGATGGAACAACACATGCATATTAAAAGCCATTACACATAAAGCTCAACAACATTTCAAATATTCATAGCATGTAACACAGCATGCATACAACCATACCCCCATGGGACATGGTGGAACCACAACATGGCTAAACCGAGGACACGAAAGCTTACCTCGCAAGCTAAAAACCCAAACCAAGGTCCACACTAGCTCGAGGTCCATAAACAGCACAATCACAATCTGTTTTAGACCAACAATTATATCAATATTCATATTCCAATATTTTACCATGATAAACAGAATTTCCAGCAACCAAAACGCGACTTATAATAGACACTTCGATCAAACCACTGATCCAATGGATACAAAAATTTTCGGAGCTGTATCCCTATTTGTTAGCTTCACATAGGTCCAGACGGCACTCAATTTGGAGCTTTGTAGCCCAAGATATCGAATTTTTACTAAAACAGGTTTGTTGCTGTCCAGACCAAAATATCGGGATATCTCCAACTGAATATCGGGATATCGGATATCCGGATATTTCCAACCAAATATCGGGATATCCGATATCCGGATATTTACAACCAAATATCGGGATATCACATATCCGGATATTTACAACCAAATATCCAGATATTTCACGTCAGAATGCAGATTTTGCATTTCGCGAGATATCAATCCCAAGGGTCCATTTTTAACACTTAAACACGTTAAAGCATGCATTTTTAGGCACATTAAGGTTCATACAACTGATGGTTACTTGCTTAACTCATTAAACATGCCAAGACATCTCTTTTAAGCATTAAAACTCAAGAACAAAGGTGGTACAACTTACCCAAGCTTCAAGGCAGTAGCTATGGGTGCTCTTGGAGCTCACACTACAGCTCCAAGGTGCTGACACAAAGGGTGCACGAAAATACACTTCAAGGCGGTTCCTTTCTTCACAAAGATCACCACTTGAAGCCCTCACCACCAAGACCAAGCTCCAACCACCAAGCCAACACTCTCCCTACCTCAAAACAGAAACACCAACTCAAAAGGTGGCTGACTCACGCTCCCACACCACTCTACCAAGTGTTTACCAAGAAAGAAGGAGAAGAATCAAAGGAAAAGAGAAGACTTTGGAGGTTTTCCATGAAGAAATGGTGAAGAGAAAGCAAGGCACCAAGAGGCTGACCAGCACACACAAAAACCCACGCACAAAAGGCTAAAGATCAGCCTAGGGTTGTGTGCAACTAACATATATATAGCCACTTAAGCTTAAAACACACAATATTAACTTTAATTGCTATGCTTAGAATTTTAATTCCAAACTTTGGATTCTTAACCTACTCATTTTTACTAGAATTATCATATTTTTATTTTATTTTTCTGAGCACCTTTCCGATACGCGTTTTTTCATAGCCAGTATCAGATTATGGCACCAGTTCTCATTATTTGGACTTGAAACTCGTTTTACAAGTCCTATATATTATTCTAGTAATTATCATGCACTTATTATAATTTTTCGGGATACTTTTTCGGTACGCATTTATACCTACTAGCAGAATCGGTATCTGCACTTTTCTTCCGAAAAGCGACTTTCAGCATTCTTAATCACTTACCATAATTATTAGAGCCTCATAACAATTATTAGGGTCAATTATGGAATCATTTCCAATTTTCTCATAATTAATTAATTAAATTCATTAATTAACGGTGCGGGTTCTTACATTCACCCCACCTTTTTAGGATTTTGACCTCAAAATCAGAATCATACCTGGTCGAAACTCGGGGTACTGCCGGAGAAGCTCGTCCTCACGCTCCCAAGTACACTCCTCAGGAGTCCTTCCGGTCCACTGCACTTTGACCATCGGAAATTATCTTGCTCCTCAGCTGCTTTTCGCCACGATCGAGAATCTTTAGTGGTCCGACAGGAGTCTTTAGGTTCTCCCGAACCTCCACATCATCTGGTTGCACCACATGCGATGGATCTGCTATGTACCTCCGAAGCTGAGACACGTGAAACACGTCATGGATGTTAGCCAGGTTCGGAGGCAAGGCAAGCCGGTAGGCAATAAGTCCTACTCTACCAAGGATCTGGTATGGCCCAATAAACTACGGGCTCAGCGTCCTCACTCCGAGTGCCCGTCCAACACCGGTGACAGGTGAAAGTCTCAAAAACACGTGCTCACCCTCACTGAACTCCAGTGGACGATGCTTGACATCGTAGTAGCTCTTCTGGCGATTCTGCGCCTGCTTCAGCTTTTCCCTGATCATCTGGATCTGCAGGGTGGTATCTTGGACAAAGTCCAAGCCAAACAACTCACAATCCCCAACCTCAGACCAGCAGGTAGGTGTACGACACCTCCTACCGTAGAGCGCCTCGTAGGGTGCCATGCCCAGGCTAGCATGGAAATTGTTGTTATACGAAAACTCCACCAATGGAAGGTACCTATCCCATGCCTAGCCCTGCTCCAACGTGCAAGCCCGCAACATGTCCTCCAAGGTCTGGATAGTCCGCTCAGTCTGTCCATCAGTCTGAGGGTGATAGGCTGTACTCAGTCTCAACTGCGTACCAAAAGCTCCCTGCAGCGCCTCCCAGAACCGAGATGTGAACTTCGGGTCCCTATCACTAATGATACTCTTGGGCACCCCGTGAAGCCTCACGATCTCGCGAACATAAAGCTTGGCCAACTGCTCTGTAGTGAAGCTCACCTTCACTGGAAGAAAATGGGCAGACTTTGTCAATCTGTCCACAATGACCCATATCGAGTCACAACCAACCTGAGTCTTCGGCAAACCCACAACGAAGTCCATGGAAATGCTCTCCCATTTCCACTCTAGAATCTCAAGAGGCTGAAGCTTACCAGACGGCTTCTGGTGTTCAATCTTCACCTTCTGGCAGATCAAACACTTGGACACATACACAGCTATGTCCTTCTTCATTCCTGGCCACCAGAAATTTCTCTTCAGGTATTGGTACATCTTTGTAGCACCAGGATGAACAGTAAACTGCCCCTTATGGCCTTCCGCCATAATCTCTTCGGTCAAGGGACCTCGAGGAATCACAATGCGCTTCTGAAACAACAGAAGTCCATCCTCATTCCAAGACACACCGTCTTGGTTCTTCACGTAGTCGAGACACTCTCTCTGCACTTGCGCCTCTT